CATGGAATTATTAATGGATTATATTTAGAGTGTCTTTTATTCTGCACCTGAGTTAATGTTGGTCATTTAAAGAAAAGAGTTTTAGAAGCTTGCTTTCTAAATTCCTCTACACACTTATCATAGAAGGCTTCCAATTCTACTTCAGTGTAATAACTTTTAGTGTTAATACAAATTATTTATATGCTCTGATCCAAGGAACAGAAAAATGCATGAGAGTTTTGAACATCAGTCTCAAGGGTTTTGCTTACAACTATCATTAGGACTTACTTAAAAACCTGGATTACCCTCCAAGTTTGTCTCCTGATAACCAGGATGGACATTACAATGAAATGTTCAATGTTCAGTGCTTTTCAAGAGAGAATGTATGACCTGCTTTGATTGTGCTCAAGATAAGTTGAGAATTCTGAAGAAAGAGAAAAGAAAAAAAAAACAGAATCATAGAATGGTTAGGTTTCCAGCCTAGTTCCAACCACCCTGCAATGGGCAGGGTCACCTCCCACTAGATCAGGCTGCTCAAGGCCCTGTCCAACTTTTAACAGTGCCAGGGATGGAGCATTCCCAACTTTTTGGGCAGCCTGTTCCAGTGTCTCATCACTCTCACAGTAAAGAACAACTTCCTTATATCTAACCTGAACTTCCCCTGTTTAAGTTTAAACCCACTGTCCTATCACTACAGTCCCTGATGAAGAGTCCACCTTCAGCATCCCTGTAGGCCCCCTTCCGATACTGGAATGTTGCTACGGGGTCTCCACGCAGCCTTTTCTTCTCCAGGCTGAACAGCCTCAATTTTCTTAGCCATTTCTTAGGTGAAGATCCAAGAGAAGACCTTCACCAGGTTTGGCAGACATAAAAGACAGTGCAGCCTTGCTTTGTATGATAATCAGTAGATATTTGCACTGTAGAAAACTCAGGAAAGAGTTAGATTTAACGATTTCATCTGTTTTATGATATGTTTATATTTTAAACATATCATCTGTGGAGAAACTTGCAGAATTCAAGTTATATATTAAAGTAGTATACATTAACACCTATTGATTGATTACAACAGATCCATGAAACAGAGCTAAAGGAATGTGCGTATTTTCTACATTTATATAAAAGATGACAGTTAGGGACGGTTATGCTTCATTCAGTGCTTCTCCATAATGAAGGGTTTATTGTTTAAGATTAGCAGTCCATTCTGTTTGAAAGGATAAATGTGTTCCTAAATGCAAAATTCTATCATTAGCATGTTTTTTTCCACTTTAGTGATTTTTCCATTTGTAAATAAAGCTCCACTATTTGTACGTCAATTTATTATCAAACAATTAATAGTTCATTCCGATATAAATACGTTTAACAGTATAAAGATGTTTGATTGCTGATCACTGTCAGTTATTTTAAATTCTTTTAAAAAGTTCTCTTATATGTAAAAAACTTGAGAATGCAATCGTGGCTGCTTTAAAACTTCTAACTATTACTCTTTGTACAACCTTTGGCATTGATAAGGCTGCCTAGGGAGTACACCTGAGAATTTAATCTAACCTGCCTTCATGATAACACACAATATTTGCTAGATCTTGATGGAATTTATATTCACTTCAGTAAATTTCCTCTGATTTATAAGCTTAGATTTATCTCATGTCTCTACTATATCACACATTATTCATCATTTAGAAGGTTAAGAGATATTTACTACAAAGAACAGTTTTTTAAAAAACACAGAGTTCTAGATAGAAAGACACTGGCAAGGAAGAAAAATTTTTAGCTTCTCCAACTTCAGGTACATCTGAAAATAAACTATAGCAGCCGTAGATGGAATGCAATTGCCTAAAGTCAACAGAGTTATATATGGGGTGGGAGGAACCCACCATCACACTGTAGCGTTTTCGAAAGTAATGACTTATAGGAAAGATTTCCAATAAAAGTTAAATTATTAAAGATGTAGTAATTGGCTTTTATGTTAAAAGTCAACATGAAGTAGACAACTGCCATGTTCAGACACTTCCTTAAAAAAAAAAAACAAAAAAATCCCCAAAAAACAAAACAAAAAAAAAACACCCACCAAAACAAACAAGAAAAAAAATAAAACACCACCCCAAAATATTTCTGTTTACCTCAAAGCCAATGTCATCAGCAAGATTCAGATCAACTTGATGATCCAAGAAAAAAAAAAAAAAAATGTATCAAAGGTATATATGCAGACATACTTCAAGCACCACACTGATTTTTCATTGATATAAAAGGTATTTGCATGCTAGGATCTTCTGAACATTCCAATCTCATAATTACAACTTCAGGTATCCAAATACTTTAACAAAGACATTCCTGACTTAAGTCTTCCACCTCAATCAAGGGGTAGGGTTATCCTAAATCATCAGCAGTTGGATCGTTTTATACCAGCTAAAGCAGCAGAAATCTAATGAACAGTAACAATTCAACAGCGAATCCATACAGGCTGGGTACAGCTGATACTTCCCAAGTTCTATCTTTAAAGTTCATGTGGCAACCATTTTTATTACTGAATATATTTAATTTGTCAATCGATTAGCTATTTCCCATGGTTATAATTTACAACTACTATTTAAATTGTAAGTAATATAGGGAAATGTATGTCATCAGTATTTTTTGTACATAGTTTTCCCTGTACACAGAAATTTTAATAGATATATTCTGTGCATGCCTTTGTTCTTAAATGCCTGTGGTGGCCAATCTATCAAACTCAATATAATCTGTGGAACAGCCTTCTGGCATGTCCTCCTGATTCAATGGCATCCTATAACCTGCTGAGTAGTAGAAGATACTGTTTAACAAAATTACAAAATTTGGCTGCGTTTATTCCTAGACATAGTTCCATAAGTTTTGAAGAACCAAAAAGTGCATTAAATTTTATGCTAATTTCCTTTCTTAAGAAGAGCACAGTTTTAACTCATGATCTATGGCTCAGTTTTTTTCCTCTGAGACATATTTCATCATAAGTTCATCTGTTCAAAACATTTAGCTTCTTACAGTGAACAGGGGGAAAGAAGGGGTGATGTATTTTCTGTTTGGGTTTTTATATTCAGTAATTGTGGTCACCCAATCATGAAGACCAAGTTCATCAAGGCATATACAGATGCACTAATGTATTTTTGGAAAACACAGGCTCTTTATTGAAGAAACATTTTTTATTATTAAATAGAAGTGTGGAATTCCCTGGGGTACTCTGATCAGAGTCTGCAAAGACGTGAGTCCTCCTGTTCAGCATTCCTCTGTGTAGTACTTCCAGCTGACTTTTAAAAATCAGTTCCTCTCCAAAGCTACAAGAACTTTGTCTTTTAAATGAAAATGGGGTAGACTTGAAGGTTTTGTATGTTGAGTAAATCTAACAGTTTCAATAATGAAACCAAAAATTAGTCATAACAATCAGTTGTTATTCCTTGGCCAGAGATATTTAAATAATGAGAGTGTGAACTGACAGCACCATGCAATAGTGTTTGTGTAAAACACTTTATATGTTGCAGAGATGATCAATAAAATAATGACTTAGAATAGCAAAGAGGTAGAATCTGAAAGAATTGCATGCATAAATGACTAAATTATTTTTAAACTTTCATACTGCCTAAGTTTTACTAGCTTATCTATCTAATGTGCTTTTAAATTAAAACAGGTAGGCTTGATATTTTTTGAATCAGAACACATCAGAGAAGTCTCACAATTCCACTGTGTGCCAAGGAGTTTTCCTAGGAGGCTTTGTAACTACATATATCTTTCTCAAAAATAAATGATGAGTCATATACTTGCCTAAACAAACTTTAATGACGGGTGCTATTTAGTCTGTTCAAATCAAGCTGATTAATGTATCGTACGATATGCACATATCCTGTGCATTCCCTTATTCGCTTGATTATTCCTGCATATTTCTGAATAAGTTGCTGAGGATAGGTAATTTTTTCTTGTACTTTTTTTGTTTACTCATTCAACTTAAACTGGTAATTACCAAAAAACAAGGTAACTTGAAAAGTGGCTAAGAGAGGAACAAAAATGCCTTTTTCTACCTCACATACGAAAAAGCCAAATGAATATTTACAAGAAAATAATAAAAAGAAGTCACTTCTGAAGCCAGGCAAATAGCCAAAAACATGATTGGAAACAGCAGGGGAGATTTCTTCTTCATGCTGCTTCTTTGACTACTGTATCCTTTCATTGTGAACCTTCACAACTCCACTGCATGGAGATGGTGCTCTGGTTTGTACTGATGGATCATACCTTCTGAAAACTTTGGAAATTTGACAAAGTTTGATAAGAAAATCAGTTCATACCAAAGCTGGTTAATGGAGAAGAAAATTCTTCAGATATCATCAACCGAAATTATTGCTACTGTGAACTCATGTAATTTCACTGGGTTTACTAATTCTGACTATTTACATGGGTAATGAAGTTGTCTGCAGTTTTTTAATACTATGTGGCTTGCCCTATAAAACATCAAAAGAACAATTTCACCAGTAGATGGACCTGGAACTCCAAAATACTTTTGTTCTGATCCTTTCTTCAGTATGACAAATTTTATCCTTACAAATTCTAGGGAAGTCTCATTTATTAAAGGAGAGAGGCTTTCTTTCTCAGAAGCATTTAAATTGGTATATTAATGTAATATCCCAACTGTGCTTACATTTTGGGTTTCATTATATGTTCTTTCTCCTGTTTAGTCTTTACTCTATTTAAGTGAATTCAAAAACTCTGTTTTCTGTGAAGGCTCAAAACATCCCAGTCCACAAAGTAACAGCCAGAAGACCACTTTCTGTTTCTTTCCTTTTTGAGGAGCTGAATGTCAAACTCATCTCACCTCTCTTTAAACCAAGGGATAATTCTCTGGTCTTAATTTGTAACATTCAGCATTATGCTCTACCTAACTAGGCATCAATCTGTTCTGAAGTTGAATCTCTGTCTTGTAAAGTCAAAGAAACCCTAGAGTTTGCGTAACTATCTATAGAAGGACCGCAGTAAGGGAGGAATCTTCTCGCAACACTGAACTAAAACACCTGTACTCCAATGTCAGCTTCTTCACTCCTGGCCCAGCAAGTACCTGGGGAAAACAAAACGCAGACAAGATTCCCTGAGCTCCAATGTCCCCAGGCTGCTCCAGAAGCAAGCTAGTACTATTGGCAGCTGGCATGCATCATGGTATTTGAACAGCTGTAAGCTAGGGGAAACAAATTAGTTCAAAGAAAAAAACCTTTCAGGAGAATGGCAACACTATATTTAGACTCCTATTCAAATAGCCCTACTTCAATGAGATGGGGAGTATATCATCATCGTCTGTGATTAGACATTTATCACACTGTCATAAATTTGTGTGAGTTTATATGAAACTGCTATGAAGATTGTGCAAGGGTTGATGCAGTAATTCAAATATGTGTATTTAGAAGGATAAATCCAGTGAGGAGACACCACACACTTGACAAGAGAATTAACAGAAGTCAAGTGGATTCAAGTAAATCTGACATAGGATCTGAAAAACCTGTGAACAACAAACAGAGATATGCACACAACTAATTATTCAAGTCATTGTTTGGAGTAGACTGAAGGGAGATGATATTATAGTAAAAAATATGGAAAGCTTCCTCAAAAGTAAAGATAAAGCTGCTTTTCATAGAGATAATGGATATGACCAGAGGAGGAAAAAGGAAAAAAAAAAAGAAAAAGGATGATACTAGGAAAAAGCTTTCTTATAGAAAAGATGATGAGGTGATGGAGTAAACTGGGGGGTTGCCAGTACCTCAGGTCTTTCAGGACAGATTAGTCATCCATGAGATAACAAAATAGAATTATAGCTATCAAACCTGTCTCAGAACAATGATGTAGACTGAATGATCACTTCAGGTCTTCTTCAGACTTAGACTTCAGAGTCTAATTCCAAATACTGCCATTGCTAGCATTTTCATGTTCTTGTTTTTTTTTTTTAGGGAAATATTTGTTCAAAAGACAAATAAATAAGGCTTCTACAGGCATACTGCTGAAGTCTTTACAGTTTGTGCAAATTCCATTATTTCAAGCTAAATATAACTATCATATAAAAAGTCTGGGATAGGAAGCAAACAAAAAAAAGGCAACCAGAATTGGATTTCTGGAACAGACACAAAGGTATTTCTTCATCTTAGTCACAAACAGAATAATATATTGCAGGAAAAAAAAAAAACCAAAAGGTAGCTGTTTTTCTCCCATAGATTTTAATATATTTCTCCTGAAATCCCAATATTACACAAAATCACTAAGATTTTTAAAGAGAAAACTGCTGGTTTGATGTTGCATTTCAATGCTGCTGCAAAGATCTGTCTGCACTTTGTCTACTGGTAAACTAGATGTCAGAAACAATGCCTGTCTTGCAGTGGAAGACATGAGCACCTTCGTACTTTCAAACCTTTCTGGCTATAGCTTCCTACATAGCTAGATGGAGATAGGACTTGCACCTGTCTCAGCTTGTGTGCCTGATATTTCTGCAGTCAACAGAACACAAACATACCAATATACCAACAACAGAAATATATCACCTTAAAGGTTTCTGTCATTTTAAAGCCACATCTGGCTGCTGGACCAGCATGCTAGTAGACTCTGTCTTGCACACCAGGAGATTCAGATGCAAAAATATTATCTAGAAATTTGCCTAGAATTCATCTGACAGCTCATTTCCCAATCTGAGCTTTAACAATTTTCTTTCTCTTAGTCAACACAGAAGACCTTATACCTCCTCTGTCTTCAGCATTTGGCAAGAGACTGAAGAGTGGCTGCCTCATGCCAGGCACCCTTCTCTTCTTACAGTGCTGTGGATTGTAATGAAGAGCATTAAAATACTGTTTCTGATACCTTTTTTATCAGCCTAGCTTACAGGAGCTATCTATCCAGTCACTCATTCTGTATAGGTATTTGTGACTCTTTCTAAACCCCAATCCCTTTCAATCACACTCACAGATATCACAAATTTAATGAAAAAGTAAAAGACTAAACCATAATTAAGTCTTTTCAAACTTAATGAAAGTATGGGTTTGAGAACAGAGAGAAGACTGAATGACTTCTGCTTTCAACAGGCAATTTCTGCAGTCATAGTAACCTAATATGCGTTGCAGTTTAAACCCAGTCAGCAACTAAATACCATGCAGCTGCAAGCTCAGCCCCTCTTTTATCCCCTCCGTCCCCAGGCTGGATGGGGAGAAGAACTGAAAGAATGTAAAAATATGCAGGTTGAGATAAGAAGAGCTTAATAAATAAAGTACAATTTAACAATACCACTAATAGAAGGGAATAACAAGGAGAGAGAAATAAAACTAAAAGGGGTGGTGGGGAGGAAAACGATGATAAACACAAGTGATGCACAATACAATTGCTCACCACCCGCTGATCCATACCCAGCCTGACCTGAGCAGCAATCTGGCCTTCTGGGTGACACCCCCCCCCCCCCCCCAGTTTATATACTGGGCATGAAGTACTGTGGTATGGAATACCCCTTTGGCTAGTTTGAGTCAGACGTCCTCTCTGCTCCCTCCAGGCTTCTTGTGCCCCTCGTCACTGTCAGAGCATGAGAGACCGAAAAGTCGTAGATCAGGATGAGTGCTATTTGGTGACTACTAACACATTATTGTGTTATCAGCACTGTTCTCAGAAAGCTAAACACAGCACTGTACCAGCTAGGAAGAAAAATAACTCTATCCCAGCAGAAAACAGGACAATATATTATTGCCAAATTAATGTGGGGTCAACAGCTCTATAGCTCAATGATCAAAGTGCAATCAGTTCTTAGTTTCCCTGACCTGATACAATCATTAATTTTTTAAAAATTTTCTTACTGAGTAAAATCAAGCTATAAATTCTAGTGCTTTTTGTTCTTTAATTTAATACAAATGTAGTTTAGGGACTGAGCTATACTTCTAAAAGTGTTTGTAATGGTGTAGCTTCAAGGAAGGGACTAGGATATCTTGTAGAAATCTGCTTAAGAGAGATATAACTGGATCTACTGTACTCCTATACTGTTTTACCTCCCAAAATATCATGTTTCTATTCTAAATATTTTTAGAGAAAAATAAAAGCAAGTGTGAATAGGTCAGAGTAAGAATTAAGAAATTCCAACTTATTACCTGAGCTTGATTTGAAAGACGCAGTCTTGATTTATACAGTAAAGTACCAAACCCAAATCCAAAAATATTTTATGTATTTATCATCACATTCCATTAATCCTTCTAGGAAGTAGTTTATTTAATTCCACATTTTTCTGGGGTTAGTTTTTGTTTTTTTGTTGTTTGGTTGGGGGGTTTTTTTTGGTTTCTTTTTTTCTTCTTTTTTTTCCTTAACTGTTAAGAACTTGGCAAACGGATAAAAAAATGTCACTGATATGTTTTGCCTGCTTTGCACAGCTCTGCCTGTGTGACTATATAATTTTAACTGGAAAGGAGTCTGGAAAAAGAATGATACACAACTTCTAGAATAATGCTGTGTTCTCTCGCTACATCAATGAAAAATAAGTAATCAAAATCAAAGCCAAAACATGCTAATGAAAGTAAGATTTTTCAGTGAAACTGAAGGGCAAATTGTATTAAGCCACATATAAGGCATTTTTAAAAGTGGATAAAACACAAGTGCTCCATAAACCACAGCTTTGTGCAAATTAGCAAAATAAATAGTAGGAAAAATTGTGATAATCATATTATTTTCAGTACAGGTATCTTTGCAGCTGTATAGAACACAGCCTATACTCAAATACTGAGTAAATCAAAGCAAAGTGAATTTAATAGGTCTATTAAAAGTGTGCTAATGTATCTTTATGTAACTTAGGGCAGCAGTACCAATTCTATAGAAATAAGGGTAAATATAATGTGTCCTAACAAATAGTGATAACTGATTTTAACAGGTACTTAGAAAGAGAATATTTGTTTAGATCAATATCCAATTAAGAGTGTGGCTTTTCAGAGAGTACTCTGGGGTTTTTTCAAATTACAAAAGCAAAAGCTATTAGTAAATCTTATTAGTTTCATTCTGGTCTCTTGAGATTTTTTTTCACCTGACTACTTTGTGTCCCTTGAAAGATGATTTTGAACACAGTGTGATATCGATTGTTTCAAGGCACTAACGTGAACTGATCAAACACAGTGAAAGAAAATTTTACTGTATACATAGTCAAACTGAAGACTAAGATTTGTCAACATCAGAGGTTAATAATTTCCACTTTACTAAAAAATTAACATCTAATCAGTGACTCAAGAAGAAAATGGAGCCCTACTCATATTTATAATCATATGGACTCTGGGTAATGTTACAGCAAAGTAGCTGCAGAAACATCAGGAAAGTATGAACAATGTATAAACAATGAACAAAAGGTAAATTTTTTGAGGGAAGAAAGAAAGAAACTACGCCCTCCTTCTGCCTTTTTGCATTCTTTGTGTTTCTTCAGCCTAAATGAAGAGTAATGCAAGACCATATATGCTGATTTCTTTTACTTACTGAATAATCATACAAGATGAGAAGTAAGACTAGAATTAGATTTCTTTCTTAAAAGAGAACAACCCTTCCAAAATTCTGCACATATTATTTAGTGGAAAAGTACTGTAAGTACAATGTTGAATGAAAATGATGAGATTTTCCCTTCCTAGAAATAGGAGGCGAGATCCTGGAATGTCTCCCTATCTTCCCCTTCACAAAATGAGTTTTAAAGCATAGATAGCTTCTGTCTCTTCAGTCCTCCAACATCAGTCTTGCTATGCAGAAAAACAGAAGTCCTCTTAGGCTTCAATATTATACCCATAGTTTGAACATTTCAGCTAAGGTATTCAAAACTAAGCACCACAACTAACTCCTCCTTTTTAGTCAGTTTTTTCTCTATTTTGCCTAGATAAGAGATGGACTGTGGCTGGCTGATTCCCCTGGAGGGATGACAGAATTATATGTCTCTCCTGCTTTCCCTCAGCTAATAAATGTCAGTTGACATACATGGCCTTGTGCTGTCTGCTAATTAGACTATCACTTAGACAGATTAACTAGATCAGTGTGATAGTGTAAACCTAGTTAGGAAAAGAATCTGAGAATATTATAAAAGAAATTTTTACAAAAATTATTTTCTTCATTAAAAATATATATACAATACAGTGAAAACAAAAACATTTTTAATTTAAAACACAGTGACAGAATTATTTTAACAGTAAAAAACTCCCGAATATAGCATGTTTCTCTAGTAATAACTGTTTTGATGAATGATATGGACATCACATCATTTAGGTTCATAATTCCTCCTGACTGTCAGCCCCTTGATATCAGACAATGTTCACTATGGCAACAATATTACATAGTCATGTAATCTCCAAAGTACCAAGACTAAAAAGCAAACCAAACAAAAAAAGATGTTACTACCAAGAACTAGGAGACAGACAATTATAATGATGATACAGAACTAACAGCCTTGGTAGAACTAATGAGAAAAAGCACACTATTTTTTTTACATATAAATAAAATTATTTGTCTGCTATCATCATGCTTTCAGAAACGAGTATTTTAATTTTTTTTAACATAATTTAAATGTTTCTTAGCTGTAATTCAAAGCATACCAAAGGAAAAGGAAAGCCATCACTGAGGTTTGGGATCAAATACTAGTTTTATAGACAGTAGGAAAAGAAAAAAAAAACTTATTTCAATATCAAATACAGTCTTCTCACTTCAGTAACATACTAGCATCAACACAACAATCAGAGAAAAAATTGTGTTGTACTTTTGCAGAGACATTATGTGTTGTATTACGGTCCTATTACACTATTCTTTGAAGTTTCTATTGCATGTGAATGAAATATCTTTTCATTACAGAATCTTCCAGCTATGAAAAATGACATGTTTTGTGTTATCGATTTGTTTATCCCACACACAATATTTTTTTACACTACCTTTCATAGGCTATCTTTTACACTATCTTTCACAGGACTGTCAGCAGAAATCCTCACTCTAAAAGCTGTGCAGTTTTCCTGTGCTTCAGCTGTAATGAAATTAAAAAAGACTGTAGGGCCTGTTGTTAACCAGACTGGATGGGGCTTTGAGCGACCTGCTCTAGTGGAAATGGCCCTGACTGTGGCAGGTGGGTTGGAACCACATGATTGTGTCCCTTCCTACCCAAATTGTTCTGTGACAGTATTCAGCATACCCACAATCTGTGTGTCAAATGATTTTAAACAAAGAGTGGTCTTTTGTTTACACAGGCAACTTCCACTCTGACAAAACTGAAGTGAACTTCATCTAAGTGAAGAAAAGAACTTCCAACAGTTTCTACTGTTCACACTTGAAGGATGCTTATTACAAGGAAATGTGAAGTGCACTAGTGAAGAGAAATAGCTAATGTGACATAAAAGCAAAACTAGCATGATGACCTACTTTTGTTGTTCTGCTGAACGAAGTTATGTTTCCTCTTGCCTCGAGAGGCTGTGAATATCATTACTTACAGTACTAAACATATTATGCACTTACCTTCAATGACAGCTCAAAGCACAGAGGTAATCCAGGGACAACAGTATTTAGCTTTAGTGACAATTGCACCCAGTGAAGCCCTGGGAGGTGTTCACTGCACATACAGGATAAGGAAACAACATAAAACACAGTTGCAGGTGTAGTGGAAGACATTAAAGTCATCACAGATATTAAGCCTGAGATAGGAAGACTGATTCTTATAGGTTTTCCACCTGATTCCCTGGTGATTACTAAGACCTGATAACTATCCTGACCTTTACCACTAAGGAGGCTAATTGAAGAGGCTAAATTGCTTAGGTAATGCAAATGAACACAATGACAGGTGTCAGATAATTTGTTGTTAATTGGCTGTGTTAAGAGAAAATGAGGAGCAAAATATTAGCTTCTTTTTGAAAACAGATTCAAACAGTTATCGTAACTCCTCAATGGGTGCCTATGTAGCCTCCAAACATTCTTATCCATAGAGATTTTTCAGGTAGGGAATTCAGTCTTGGTTCTGCAGTTAGACTATCTTGAGACATTCACAGCTATGAACTTAATTTTTACTAGAGAGATGTTTCTAAAATTAGGTGGAAACTGCATATAAAGAATAAAGTTTACTCTGTGATGAGCCCAGAGTTCCTGACTCTATGCTTTGTGGACATTGAGGCATTTGTTATTCGATAACCTTTATTGCACTTTCTAGTGTAAAGGACATAAAATATCAACCAATGGAACATTTTTTTTCTTTTTTTCTTATCTCATATGATTGCATCTGTCACAAAGGCTAACTTACTGATTAATGGACTCCAAAGATTTTCTGGGAAATTGTGTTCAACTAATTGATCATTTTCTGACATTTAATTCTTTTTTTCTTTTACATCTTCTATACACTTGCTGCATGCAGAACATGAGAATATATTTCATAAAATGTATAAATACAAAAGAATTAAAGTGGTATCTCCAATTGTTTCAGGAATTAAAATAACATCTTGGCAAACGTTGTATCAGCAGATGCAGGGCTAGTTTCTGCATTATTCAGCTTTGCTCGTAGCAAAGGTATGGGCCTACCTTAAAACAAGTATAAACGAAGAAAAATGATTCACTTTTCATTATTTGCATGAATTTGGATTCAGTCTTTAAAATCATTGTATTAACTGTTCAAAAATAAACAAGAGTATAATCCCATAACTACTATTTAAATCAGAGTACTTTATATTAGAAGGCAAATGTGCGTTCTTACTTTCAATAAAAAACTTGCTTTCTTAGATTAAATTAGAGGCTGGTTAAAAGGTTTTGGACACATTTGTATATGCAGATCAATATGAAGTGTATTTATCTATCAAGTGATCTTCTCCTCACTCCTTCCATCTTCCACTGATGATGTGGGAAGGAATGGGAAGATTCAGTTCATAAACGATTGGCTTCGAGACTGGTGCTACAGGCAGGGCTTTGGATTCTTTGATAACAGCTGGTTTTATAGGGCACCAGTCTGGACAACGACAAGTGAGAAAGGTTTGTCTCACAGAGGCAAAAGGATGCTGGGGCACGAATTAGCAGGGCTCATTTGGAGAGCTTTAAACTAGATTCGAAGGGGGATGGGGTTGTAGCTGGGCTTGCCCCGGTGGGGCAGCGCTCCAGAATTGATGAAGACTGGGAGGCCTCCTATAATCCTAGGGTGAAATCAGTGTGCTCAGCTCGCTCCCTGGAATGCCTGTACACCAATGCGCGCAGCATGGGAAATAAGCAGGAGGAGTTGGAAACCTGTGTTAAGTCAGGAGACTATGATCTGGTGGCAATTACAGAGACGTGGTGGGACAGCTCACATGACTGGAATATAGTCATGGAGGGCTATGTCCTTTTCAGGAAAGACAGGCCAGCCAGGAGGGGTGGTGGGGTTGCTCTTTATGTGCGGGAGGAACTACAATGCACCGAGTTCTGTCCAGGGACAGATGACGAGCGAGTAGAGAGTCTGTGGGTGAGAATTAAGGGGCAGGCTGGCAGGGGGGATACTGTTGTGGGTGTCTGTTACAGACCACCGGATCAGGGTGAGGAAGTTGACGAGGCCTTCTACAGGCAGCTGAGAGCGGCCTCACAGTCACAGGCCGTGGTCGTCGTGGGGGATTTTAACTTCCCTGTTTGCTGGAAGGACCACTCGGCAACCCAGCCACAGTCCAGGAGGTTCCTCCAGTGTATGGATGATAACTTCCCCCTGCAAATGGTGGATGAGCCGACCAGGAGAGGAGCGCTGCTGGATCTCATCCTCACTAACAAGGAGGATCTGGTTGAAGCAGTAAGGGTTGAGGGCTGCCTTGGTTGCAGCGACCACGAGATGGTGGAGTTCAGGATCTTGTGTGGTAGGACTAGGAGAATACCACGTAGAATTGCAACCCTGGACTTTAGCAGGGCAAACTTTGGCCTTTTCAAGCAATTGCTAGGGGAAATCCCATGGGCAAGGCTGCTTGAAGGTAAAGGGGCCCAAGATAGTTGTTGACATTCAAGGATTGCTTTTTCCGTGCACAAGATCGGAGCATCCCGACACGTAGGAAGTCAAGGAAGAGGGCCAAGAGACCTGCGTGGCTAAATAGGGAATTGCTGGGTATGCTCAAGTGGAAGAGGAGAGTTTACAGGTCATGGAAGGAGGGGCTGGCCACTTGGGAGGAATATAAGGCTGCTGCTAGAGGATGTAGGAAGACAGCTAGGAGGACTAAGGCATCCTTAGAATTAAACCTGGCGAGAAGGGTCAAGGACAGCAAAAAGAGCTTTTTCAAATACATGGCAGATAAAACTAACACCAGAGGCAATGTAGGCCCACTGATGAACGGGATGGGTGCCCTGGTGACAGAAGATACAGAGATGGCAGAGTTACTGAATGCCTTCATTGTCTCTGTCTACTCTGCTGCAGGCAGTCCTGAAGAGCTCTGTACCCCTGAGACCTTAGATGAAGTCAGGTCGACGGAGCGGTTTGCCTTAGTCGATGAGGAATGGGTTAGAGATCAGTTGAGCAATCTGGACATCCATAAATCCATGGGTCCAGATGGGATGCACCCGCGGGTGCTGAGGGAACTGGCGGAAGTCATTGCTAGACCGCTCTCCATCATCTTTACCAAGTCTTGGGAAACGGGAGAGGTGCCTGAGGACTGGAGGAAAGCAAATGTCACTCCAGTCTTCAAAAAGGGCAAGAAGGAGGACCCGGGTAACTATAGACCGGTCAGCCTCACCTCCATCCCTGGGAAAGTGATGGAACACCTTGTCCTTGGTGCCATCTTAAGGCATATCAAGGATAAGAGGGTTATGAGGGGCAGTCAACATGGCTTCACCAGGGGGAAATCATGTTTGACCAATCTCTTAGCCTTTTATGAGGAAATAACACGGTGGATGGATGTTGGCAGAGAGATGGATGTGGTCTACCTTGACTTCAGCAAAGCATTTGACACAGTCTCCCACAGCATCCTCACTGCTAAATTGAGGAAGTGTGGACTGGATGATCAGGTAGTGAGGTGGACTGTGAACTGGCTGAAGGAGAGAAGCCAGAGAGTTGTAGTCTATGGGGCGGAGTCTAGTTGGAGGCCTGTAACTAGTGGAGTGCCTCAAGGGTCAGTACTGGGACCGGTATTATTTAATATATTCATCAACGATTTAGATGAGGGAATCGAGTGTACTATCAGCAAGTTTGCTGATGACACTAAGCTGGGAGGAGTGGCTGACACGCCAGAAGGCTGTGCTGCCATCCAGCGAGACCTGGACAGGCTGGAGAGTTGGGCAGGGAGTAACTTGATGAAATATAACAAGGGAAAGTGTAGAGTCCTGCATCTGGGCAGGAACAACCCCAGGTTCCAGTATAGGTTGGGGAGCGACCTGTTAGAGAGCAGTGTAGGGGAGAGGGACCTGGGGGTCCTAGTGGACGACAGGATGACCATGAGCCAACACTGTGCCCTTGTGGCTAGGAAGGCCAATGGTATCCTGGGGTGTATTAGAAGGGCAGTGGTTAGTAGGTCGAGAGAGGTCCTCCTTCCCCTCTACTCTGCCCTGGTGAGACCCCATCTGGAATATTGTGTCCAGTTCTGGGCCCCTCAGCTCAAGAAGGACAGGGACCTGCTGGAGAGAGTCCAGCGCAGGGCAACCAAGATGATTAAGGGAGTGGAGCATCTCCCTTATGAGGAAAGACTGAGGGAGCTGGGTCTCTATAGTTTGGAGGAGACTGAGGGGTGACCTTATAAGTGTCTATAAATATATAAAGGGGGAGTGTCACGAGGATGGAGCCAGGCTCTACTCAGTGGCAAACAATGATAGGACAAGGGGTAATGGGTGCAAACTGGAACACAAGAGGTTCCACTTAAACTTGAGAAGAAACTTCTTCCCAGTGAGGGTGACGGAACACTGGAACAGGCTGCCCAGGGAGGTTGTGGAGTCTCCTTCCCTGGAGACATTCAAAACCCGCCTGGACACATTCCTGTGTAACATTATCTAGGTGTTCCTGCTCCGGCAGGGGGATTGGACTAGATGATCTTTCGAGGTCCCTTCCAATCTCTAGCATACTGTGATACATAAGAAATGGGATCCAACCTTTGGAAAGTAATCAACTCTATTCATTATTTTCAGTTCTTCCAAGTCTGTTTACTTATATTTAGAATGCCATGTATAAAATGCAGTTTATAGCAACTATATAGTATACATATTATTTCTCAAGGTGAAATTTTGACCTATATTTATGGATTACTACAAAAAAAAAAAGTACAGACAGTTCAATATGACACATATTTTGTCTTAAATAACAATGTTCAAGCAAATGAAAAAAAAAGCTCAAATTGTTATATGCCACCTCTTAAAAGGGTAACACAGATAAGCTCCTCAGCAATGGGTGCCTTTATATTTTGTTTTGTCCCACATCAGACCTAATTAAACTTATTCTTCTTCTCAGTGTAGCTAAGATGAAGTAGTTGGCACCATTTGTCATGGTTTAAACATACACAAAGTTGTTAACATAGCTAAGGCTTTGTGACTTCTCACCAACTTGATCTTGAGAATAACCTTAACAAACGGAGGTCAGCAAGTCCTTGTTTTACAGAGATGAGGAACTATTTACCTTTCCAAGATTTTAAAGCCACTTCATTTACTGCTTATCTAACAATTATGACAGTGAAAACTGAATTCCAAGCAGGAAATTTCTGTTATATATGTTCAAACAGCAAAAGATGCTCTCAGATTTTTTTTAACTGCAGGTGTAATTGTTAGCTTGGCAAGGCATAGCTCAATCTTTGAGCAGTGGATTTACCCACATTCCACACATTTTTGTCTGTAGTTAGGAA